CTTGTCATCTTATGTACATTAAGAAGACTTTCTTCCTTCAGGAGCCCCACCCGACACTAATCACTTCTTTGTCATACCCCCAACATCTACTAACTTCACTTAGTTAATGTCAATGTAAAAGCCAGGTTTCATTTCATTCATTGAAACTAGATTTTTGATTAATATGTAGCTGAAAACATTTTATTCGGTGATGTCGAATTGATTTGGAAAATACAGATAATGCTTAAATGTGAAAACTCTAATTTACCGAATTAATTCAAATCTTCATTGGTAACACGCAAAGACATCATATAACTTTATTTTTTTAGAGAAATAAGCTAATTTTGCAATGTTTCATAATCCATTTTTTCACTTAAGTATAACATGAATACATTCTATATTTTTATGGCATAATTTTTCTATAGTGTAATTTTAATTACTGCATAGTTTTCTTTGTATAGCTATAACACAGTTTATTTAGTATTTAGCAGAGCAGTCCCTAACTGTTTGGCACCAGGGATGGGTGTTCCTGTTAGAATCTAATGCCTAATGATCTGAGGTGGAGTTGAGGCAGTGATGCTAGTGCCGGGAGCAGCTGCAAATACAGATGAAGCTTCCCTGGCTTGCCTGCAGCTCACCTCCTGCTGTGCAGCCTGGTTCCAAACAGACTACGGACTGGTACTGGTTTATGGTCTGGAGATTGGAGACCCCTGAGTTTTTGTATACACAGAGAGAAAGAGAGAGAGAAGAGGAGAATGTACTTTTATTTTTGCCTGCATGTGTAAACACATAATATTACTTTAATCATCTATGCAGGTAAAAACTTTAGGCATATCTATATTTCCTTAGAATATATTTTAAAAATAATTCTTGAGTCATAATTTTTAAGCTATGTTTCATTGTCTTGTATAGAATATTCTAGGAAGATATGATATGGACATCCACTATAGTACATATCCCCATTCGCATATAACATTGCATTTAAACAACATTGTGAAATTATTTAAATATTTTACTTTATGGACAATAAAAGCTGAGTAACTGGTCCGTGATTGTAAAGCTAATAGATGCTCATATTTAGGTAGCCGTATTGTAGGTTATTATTGAGAGTCATTTCTAATAGTTATACAAAGTATTATTTTTATTGGAAGTTACCACTGGAGATTAAAAATAGATTAATCACATGCTTGCTTTATTTAAATGGTGGATTCTTTATCCTCTTAGGATCAGATTCGTGATCTAATTGAACCCTGTAAGGCCATAGTCTCCACACATTTTAATTGTATGCCACTATCAGTAGAAATTTTTAGTTTGTACTAATGTATATAAATTTACTTACAATGCATACATATATTATTCTCAGCCCAAATATTAAATGCTAGTGAGGACTAATGTTTATTATAAAAATAAATATGAAGTAGAGGTTTTATTTCTTTTCAAGGGATAAGTTTACACCCCTCTGAGATGGGGAAACCTCTACTTGAATCACTCCGCTCATCAGTCTTTCGATAAAACTAGAGTATCTCAAGGTTTCCTTCTACTTTTTTCAATTTATTGAAAACTGATTGAACAGTCCCAGGCACCAGGATGAGTAAAAACTGAGGCAGAATATCTTGGTGAGTCTGCATAGATTAAAGGGGAAAGAACAAAGTGCACAAACGAAAATAAAACTATTAAGTGTAACAGGCCTGAAATCCCAATGGTTTAGAAAAATAGTTGTTCTTTCTCATGTAAATAATTCAGTGGGTATACAGTAGTCTCTCCTTATTTCCTATGGATATGATTCAAGACCCCCAGTGGATGCCTGAAACGATGAGAGTACAGAACCCCATATATACTATTTTATCCTGTGCATATATGCCTATGGTAAAGTTTAACTTATAAACTAGGCAAAATAAGTTATTGACAACAATAACTCATAATAAAATAGAGCAATAATAACAACATACTGTAATAAAAGTTGTATGAATGTAGTCCCTCTTACTAAATATTTCATTGCACTCACTCTTCTTGTGATGATGTGAGATGGTGCAATGCCTATGTGATGCGATGAAGTAAGGCATGCATGATGGTGCACACCTGAAAACTTATTAATTGTTTCCTGGAATTTTCTATTTAATATTTTTGGATTGCAGTTGAAGGCAGGTAACTGAAACTGTGGAAAACAAAACTATGGATAAAGGGGGACTATAGCACCTGATCAGCCAGTGGCTCTCCTTCAAGTGGTGGTTCAGACTCCTGTTATTACCTTCTCGTGATAGCTTCCAAAGTTGCTACAGCAAGAGAAAGAGCATGGAGAGTCACACGTGGAAGTTTTTATGGGCCAAGCTGGAACTGGCACATACCATTTCTATCCTCAGTTACAAGACCACACTAACTGCAGGGAAGACTGGGGAATGTTGTACAGCTGTGTACCCAGTTAAAAGAGAAAATGGGGAAGTGCAGTAGTTAGACTCTCTGCCATAACAAATGCCATCAAGAGAGTTGTTAAACACAAGAGGCATGAGGCTGCTGCCACCATAATGTGACATATTGTTTTACAGATACTTTTTTTTAATAAGTAGAAAGGGTACACTCTAAGATAATGATAGAAAATATAGTAAAATACATAAACCAGTAACATAGTTGTTCATTATCACTATCAAGTATTACATACTGTACCTAATTGTACATACTATACTTTTACACAACTGGCAGCACAATCGGTTTTATACCACATCATATACATGTGAGTAATGTGCTGCTCTGTGACCTTTGGATGGCTATGACATCATTAGGCGATAAGAAGATTTCAGCTTCATTATAATCTTATGGGACCACTGTCGTATGTGCAGTTTGTCGTTGACTTAAATGTCATTATGTGGCACGTGACTCAAATGTCATTTTTGAGTCAAATTAATCATCATTTTTAATGATTTCATCATGTAATTAGGAAGAAAACAACTTGTAGCATTTTACGTTAATCTATTTTTATAATTCAGACCAGCTTTGAAATTGGGATATTTCTGTCTATATTTAAATCAATAATCTAGATATCATAGTATGTAGGTGCTTTATTACATTTGCCTAAAGAGTAGAAAAGTAGCACAGATAATTTAATGACTTTTTTTTTTTTTTTACTTTGGCTGCGGATGAACATGGTATTTGTGAGTGTGTGGGTGTTATTTTTTCTTTAAGCTATGTAGAGGAGAAATAAAGGAATAGGCACATAGGTATAATTATAGGTATAAACACATATATTAAATATCCATGGTTAACAGATAGTACCACGTAGCCTGATTATGTTCTTTACTCAGAATTAGAAGACTTAGAAATTGTTTTTAACACTTTCTGAAAAGGAAATCCTAGAAATGAAAGTTATCTTAATGCTTACCTAAGTCCAACATTTCACCAGCAGCAGAAATTCACCTGGAGCCAACTCCAACAACTTCACTTGATTTCATAGACAATAAGCTTATTAGCTCCTAAGGGGACATACTACCATTAGAATTTTTTTTCTTAAATTGAGCAAAATATGCTTTCTCATAAAATCCTTGACAGCATTTCTATTTTTACTTTAAGTAAATGAGACTCATCATAAACTTTAATATGACAACTTTTAAATAGTTTGATGTGAATAAATATGTATTTTTATTTTAAATTTTCCCTGTTTTTACTAAATTCTCCTTATTCTTACCATTTTAATATATGAGAGGATTTCCAAGCTAATCACCTTCCTGATACCCATATCTGAAGATCCGTAGAGATGCCTGTCCTTTTTTGTAGTTTGACTCATGCCATACCAAAGTCAGGACAATTTTTCACAGAGAATAATTAACTGGAAGATCAATTGCATATTAGTACTAGCAATACTAGTTTTGATGTTTTATAATTTTGAAGGTCAAGTCAGAGGAAAATCTCCCTATCTTGTTTTATCCTAGTTTTGACTATGTTCTTATATTATTTTGTAATTTATATTTTAAATTATAACTTGTTATAATTTACAAGTTCACATCAATTTTATTCTTTTAAGTTTTGATAATATTTTTAAATGTTATAGGTTCAAATATTTGTGCTTTAATATGTGGAAATTAAATTCAGTAAGATTGATATGTTAGGAGCTGTCATACAGCAAAACATTGAAAGATTCAAGACCAGGCCACATTCCTTTTGCTTTAACTTAATTTGATATCATTATGAAGGATAAGTATATTAGATGTATTAGGAGTGACTGGAACCTTGTCTTATTATTATATGTTAACATGCATACAAACATATGTGTGCGCTCCCCTCCCCCCGCACACATTGAAACAGATATTTTATAGCGAGAAGGGACATTAGTGTAGTGATTATTTGGAGGAAATTGTAAGAACATTAGCCTGTATATTGAATCCTGAGTTCTCTTAATAAGTAGTCAAGCCCAAGATGTTGCTGTGAAGTTCCTGTTATAAAGGACATAGTCTTCAAATCCAACTTGACCTTTGAAATTATGTCACCACTATGAGAGTTCTTTTTACTTATTTGAAAATCCTTTGACGAAGGAATCAAATTGTGATGGGGATAAAGGATTATCAGCCTTGCTCGCTTTTATAGTTATAATGACAGTAGTTATGTGAAATATCAAAACATTTAATTGAATGTGAAAATAAATAAATCTTGGTATATTTTCAAAAATACTCTTTTATTTTGCACAACTTGATCTGCCCAGTGTTCAGCTTCATCTCTATCTAATAATATATAAAAGTATGTCAGAAAAATTTTAACTTGTGATATTACATAATTATTAAGTCTTAATGGTTAGTAGGTCATAATGTATGTCTAGACTTGAAAGACAACATTCAGCATTGAATTAATGAATTAAAGTAGGTTGTTTCTTTAGTGTAGTATGTGATTTGTAAGTAAGCAATAAAGATTTGATGATCGTATTATTAATCCAGTATATAAATAATGCACTTGAGAATGAAATCCAACACATCAGGTTATTTATTCAGTTCATTATCTGTGCGTTTGTATGTATGTGTGTACCTGTGTGTGTCTTACAGCTGTTATTTCAAGAAACCAAGAAGGGCCAGGAGAAATGGGAAAGGCTGTGCTGATTCCTAAAGATGACCAGGAGAAAATGAAAGAACTGTTTAAAATTAATCAGTTTAACCTCATGGCCAGTGATTTGATTGCCCTTAACAGAAGTCTGCCGGATGTAAGATTAGAAGGGTAAGTTTACATGTGTTTTATAATCTTATATATTTCACAATATCACAGAACTTCAGTTAACTCAGATTATTTCAGTTCTATAAACATGCAGTTCTGAATAACTATGCCATAGCAAGACTTTACTGTGCACGCATATGATGTAAAATAGGAACTATTTTTTTCTCTGGAAGAGCAAAAGATATCATTTGGAAAAATACATTGCAGAGCACACAAGCCTAACAGATTTCTCTTCATGAGGTGTTTTTTTTGTTTTGCTTTGCTTTGCTTTATCTTGGCAAATATAGAGCAAACAAGCTCTTTGATAGATTATTTTCTTGCCTGCATACAAAGCTCTTACTCGTTCCTCTGAAAAACTATATGCTTTGCTATTCTAGCATAAAAGTAGCCTATTGCCTGTATAATTCTTTGCCTCTTTAAAAAAATATTTATTATGGGTTCCAGCAATTTATATTGCTATTTATACTTAGAATACCCAATTATCAGCCATGGAGGAAATATTCACTTGGAAATAATACTACTGAATGAAAAATTAAGCTAAAAATTTAACTTGCATTTAACTGTAAGCCATGCTTGATAGTTAAACATATTTTAAGTGAATGTCATAAAAATTAGAATATATAGTGGCAGTATTGTCATTCTAGTCTATAGCCCTTATAAAGCAAAGTCTTGGCACTCAGAAAAATATTCCCTGAGATTTTAGAAAATTTCTGAGTTTACAGGTATGCTTCAGAACCTACTTTAATGTAAACAGAAGTTGTTATTTTAGATGTGTAATTACTTTCTCTATATACAGCAAAATCATAGCTAATGCAAATAAAGTTTGCCATATATAAAGGGGTTTTTACATTAGTTGTGTAGTGATGTTAACATCATATTACTAAATCTGTTTTTTTTTTTCTCCTTTCTGAGTTACTTTAAATAAGCCCAAAATAGAGTAACCAAAACCTTATTGATATGCTGGGGCCGAGTAGTCAGAAAGTTCATTCGTTAGCTAAATAACTGGTTTTGTATACTCTCGTGTGCTTTTGAAAAGTCTCTTTCAACAAAACCACAGATAACTACATATAATGGATATTTTTGGTCCCTCGCACATGGTTGAAACACAAATGTTACATTTGTGCCTTCCAAAGGCCTAAATAATTTTATAGGTAGTTCTGTTCGTATTTGTATGTGTTTGTATGTATATAGAAACACTGCATTTAAAAAGCACAATAAGTGTATTCATCTGAATAATTTAAATCTTTTAGATGCTAAGTTTACATTATAATGTTGTACTTATTACTTTGTGTTATATACCATGTTATGATAAAATGGGTAAATCTGATACTTAGGTTTTCAAGAGGCCATGTGAACACTAGTTCAAACTTTAAAAAGATTTACTTTCAACTATCATAACATAAATTAAATTTTAAAGCAGATCTGGAATGATTAAGGTAAGAATTGTTTTAGTACAGAGTCATCACTTTAAAAAAAGTAAAGTCTTCATCAAGAGACCATTTAAAATATTTGTGACAAGTGCAATATCTTTTTTTTAAGAATCACTTCACGTATTAAGTCCTTGAGTAATTAACCCTTAAATTCTGGAACAATTCAACATTTTAAAAATGGAAGATTCAAATTGCTTAGCATTAAAAAGTGCCAGAATGCCATAATTACTGTGGATGATATTGCTTGAATTTTGAGATTTTGCAAATAGTCTATAAAATAATATTAGTGAAGTAAATAATTCTCTATTTTATTTTTACATCACACCACAATTTATGCTATCAGTAAAAAAAAAATACATAAATAACACTCAAATATCTTAGACAAATCATAAAGTATATGTAAGGTTCACTGGGGATATTTGCAAGTCTTTTTTTTGCAAGTCATTTTGAATGACTCAATTGTGTGACTGCCTGGGAACAAATGTTGGAAAACACACCATGAATCAGATATCCAAACTGTTATTTAAAAGATGTCAAAATCTGTTAATACTCATTTGATGTAGAATACATATTTTTTTTTTAAATTTTGGTATTAGTCAGTTACAGTTCAGTTTTTGAGTAGTTGTATCTTAAAGAGATATAGACACATTAAGCTAGCCTTAATGATGACTGATATAAACTATATGCAATATAAAAGATGGGATTCACAAAAAATTAGTTTAAAAAAAGCCTACATTATTTAGTGGAAAATTTGAGTTGATATTTATTTAGAAATGTCTACACTTCCCAAACAGTGAATTCATTCAAATATCTTAACGTATTTTAATAGAATACACTCTTAAAATGGCTTTACTGAATTCAGAAGTTGTCCAAATTGTTTAATGTTGTGTTTGGCTTTAATATCAATCAACAAATATTTGAAGATGTTTTCAAAGGAATAAACCTTAAGTAAATATCCCATGTTTTCAAAGAGAAGAAACTAGGTAAAAATAGTTTTTCTTGGAGGCAATTGTGATGAGACATCAGGACAAATTGAAGTTAAGTTTCGAAATGTCCATTCCTAGAGATGTTTAAATACTTAATTTACTTATTCACTTAATATATTTAAGTTATTATTATTTATGATACATTTACATATAATCTTTAATTATTTGAGAGACATGAAATAATTGTGTCACAAATAATCATGGTACTTGGATACATTAAGTTCTGTCAAGGCTGAAGGCCTTTTACTACATTTCTTACTTTTTGAAGGCCCTCAGTTTCTGGGATTCTTGCTGAAGTCTGTATGTATGTGTAAATAAAATTCCAGGCAGTTGTAATCAGTCCTCTCTCTCCTTTGCCCATTCTCCGTAAGTTGAAAAAAATTACAATGTCATAAAATTCTGATTCAGAACTTTGAGAAAAGGAATTTTTAACCTGATGTGTTGATGCATCAACATTAGTGATTGTTAGCATACTTCTTATTAATTATGGGTCTAAGACTTTATAATTTATATAGTTTCGATTTAAGAATAGGACCTAAATATTTCTGTTTTCAAAAAGAAAGTAAATAGATTTTATTTTATTTAGTTTTTAACATAAGATCTTTATGTTACTATTTGGGGGAGGTGGGGAGAGAGTGAGGGAAATTCCAAATTAAAGAAATATATTCAAAGATAATAAACACATTATTTCTGAGCCCCTAATATGTTAATATGTGCCAAGTACTGTTCTATGTACTGTGGATATAGCAGTGAACAAAATTAAGTCCCTGCTTCATGGAACTTAGAACAAATTAAAGAATGAAGAATGATAAGAGGTAGAGAGTAAAGCAGTGAGAGAAAGCCTCTTTGAGAAACACATTTGAGTAAGTTGAGTGGACTTTAAACACCTAAATATTGTAATTTATTTATACTACACACAGCTGTTAAATATTTACTATGTTCCTAGAATAGATAATGCTAGAAATATGAGACCAACGCATATATAAAACTCTCTCTCTCAAAAAAAAAAAATCAAACAGAATATTTAGTAAATGCATAGACGCGTGCATTTGTGTGTGTGTGTGTGCGCACATTTGTGTTATTTTTGAAAACAGTGTTTGAATTTTATTTCCATGAAAATCAGCAAAAATCACATTTTGGTTTGCTAAGATTTCTATAGTCAATGTTATCCCATGCTCTATGGTTTACTGGAAAAAGAGAAAATAATATGACTGATAATAATCAGCAAGATGGGTATATGACTCTATTCCATTAAATGCAAAACAAGGGGAACAAAAAGCCAACTACGGAGATTTTTTTCACATAATTAGGAGGAAAATCTCTAGATGTGGAACCCAAACACATAAATTTATCTATTACTTACTATTGGATCTGAGTAAATCATTAATTTTCAAGGTCTCAGTTTCCTTTCACTGATTAAACAAACTAATCAATCAGTCAACCAACCAAACAATCTTTGTCATTTACCTAATACAGACTTAGCTTCGAGAACAAAAATAGGTGGATATACCAGGCCCTGACTATCAGGAGTAAAAGGAATATATTTACTTAAGCAACTAACTACAACCATTGTATAAAAACACCAATAATTGCAAATATGACAAAGTAAGAATAGGATTGTGCTGAGTTCCTGGTGAAATTTTTGTATTTTTTATTGTTAATATTATTTTGTGGAATTCTCTTATGTCTTATTCTCTTTTTTTGGACTAAACAAAGTAACTTTTTAAGCAATCAGCTTTTCCATTTACTCTGTAATTCTTTTTGAATAAAAAATTAACAGTAATTATTGGGTGAATATTTATATTAAAAAAAGCTACGGGTAATTAAAGCAAAATGTTAAGGTTCTTTAGCATTTACTTGTATTCAGATATTTAATAGCACTTCAAGTTCTGGTATTAAGTTATTTGAAAGATATAATGCAGCTGGCATTTAAATACATTTCATCAGGGAAAAATGAGGAAATAGGAAATTTATTTTAGCTATTTATATCGTAGACCAAATAACTGCTTCTTATGTATGCATGCTTATACGCTGATAAAGAAGAAAAACTCTGGCAGTCTTTCATTATTAGTGGAAGAAGAGCAGTAGCATACAAATTCTGAATAAGTTGCCCTCAAAGGCAAAGAGTTTATTTACTACATAAAACAGAAATAAACCATAGCATACATTTTTCTGTGCTCAATCTCATAAGTGTACCTGCCCATTTATATCAGTTGCCTTTCTCATAAATTAAAATATGCTAAAAGTAACATTGATTGCACAAAGGAGAAATAGAAAAGGAGAATATTAATTGGATTTCTGATCTCTGTTCCACATCTTTTCTTTTTAATTTGAGAATTACTTTTCATATGCTGGCAAAAATTTGAGAATTAGTTTTCATATGCTCGCAAAAATTTTGCCTGCGAAGATCATTTTATAATACTTTGATTTATGTCATATACTCATGTGTGGAATTAATTTTAGTACCCAAATGAAAAGTGGTGTGTAAGAATGTCTGCCTATTTATGTATGTGTATAAATATATGTATCTATTTGAAGATGATGGAAATCATAAGTATTATTATTATCTCATGTAGTAATACTGTTA